TTTCCAAGGAGCAGCTGGTGAGTTTGAACCACCAACCTTGAAGTTCAATAAACTTTGCAGTCTGACGCATTACCCCACAGCACCACACCAGGACTCCCTTCATAGATATCCTGAATAAGATTTCTAAGGAGCGACTGGTAAGCTCGAACTGCTGACCTTGAGCTTCAAACCGACCTTGTGATCCACTGCTATCCTACAGCACCACTCTAGGACTCCAGGTTAGGCACTGGTTGATTGGTTGGTTGGTTGTGTGCTGTGGAGTCAGTTCCAACTCATGCAACCCTGTACAGGGTTTTGGAGGCTGTGACTCTTTATGGGAGCAGAAAGCCTCATCTTCCTCCCATGGAACAACTGGTAGTTTCAAACTGCTGACCTTGAGGTTAGCAGCCCAAGTTGTAACCACTAGCCTACCAGAACTCCTTAAAAAGGCATTGGTTATCTTCATTTATTTTGAAGTAAGCACAACTATTTGGTGAATTTATCAAAACTATGTCATTATCACATGAGGATAAAGTAAATGTCAGTAAGTACAGATATGTATGCTATGATGATAAGTAAATGTTTGTCCTAAAAAAACAAAACCAAAATTCCATTAAAGACTATATTGGTTTTGGATCACCAGCTGCTCTGTGGGATAAAGATGTGGCAATTTGTTTTTGCAGATTGTTGTTGTTTAGCATCATTGCTGACCTTGTGGTTAACAATCCAGTGGTTATCCTACAATGCTGTACCAGGATTCTTCTGCAAAAATTGTTGTTGTTAAGTGCCAACAAGTATATGCTGATTCATAGCAATTGTTTCCAATGGCCTTGAACTGCTGATCTTGCAATTAGTAGCCCAGTGCTTATTCTACAATGCCATACCAGAACTCCTCTTATATTTAATTGCTTATTTATATTTTCTAAATTATATAATAAAAGTTGTAAAGATAACTGCTTTGGAACGCCTATGGTCAGATCTACTCTGTTATATAATGTTTCTATGAGTCAGAATTAACTTGACAGCAACAGGATTTGTTTTTGTGTGTGTGTGTGTTGTCCAAAAGCATAATAATTTGAACATGCAGAGGCACCTTGGAAGAAAGGCCTGGCAATCTCCTTCTGAAAGGTCACTGTTATAAAATCTCTTAGGAGTACAGTTCTACTGTACAACTCATGGGATTCCCATGAGTCAGAATTGACTTGATGGCAACTTGTACTGTACTGGTTGCCATTGTTGTTAAGTGCCATCAAATTGGTTCCAACTCATAGAGATCCTATATAGGGTTTCTGAGGAGTGGCTGGTGAGTTTAAAGCATTAACCTTGTGGTTTAAATTGACCTTGTGGTCCAGCACATTATCCTGCAGCACCACACCAGGACTCAGCATGTTGTTGTTGTTGTTGTTGTTGTTGTTAAGTGGTGTCAAATCAGTACCGATTCTTAGTAACCCTAGGGTTTCTGAGTCTGTGAATCTTTGGGAGATCAGAAAGCTCCAGTTTCTCCCTCTAAGCAGCTGGCTGGCTAGAACTGCCAATCTTGTGGTTTGCAGTCGAATGTTTCCCTTACAGAGCCATCGCACTCCTACTGGTGCTGGGGTCACCTGATGACAGGTCCCTTGCATAAAAAGGCATTTCCCTCTCTAGTTATCCGAATCCCTAACACATTGATTTTAGTACCCAATGTGTTTCCCAGTCATGTACCGTTTCCAGCTGAGATGGTGATTAACTCAAACCTGGTACAAACACTCAGGGTGGAGTGTAGTTTCCAGGTTGCTGGCCTAAAGCCACTTCACTCTGCAATTAAGACATCAGGTCCTGACTGTCTGAAACTCTCAGCAACTCAGAGTTAACAGAATAACTGTTTGCTGTTGGAAGAGTTATAAAGCCACAGGATGCTCATTAAACGTTAAAATGTGTTTTGCTTTCAAGAGATGTAATCACCTTAGTCACTAATTCAACTTCCAGTCGTAGGACCTGCTATGTTATAACTTTATCAGAGAAGATAATAATTGCGGCCATTTAATGAATAGTTAAGGAGCCTGGGTGTTGCAATGGGTTAAGCATTGGTCTGCTAAATGCAAAGTGGACAGTTCAAACCTAAGAGCCACTCTGTGGAAGAAAGATTAGGTTGTCTGCTCCTGTAAAGATTTATAGTCTCAGAAACCCTATGGAGCAATTCTACTTCTCCTATAGGGTTGTTGTTGTTGTTGTTGTTAAGTTCTGTGGAGTAGGTTCCAACTCATAGCTACCTTGCACAGGGTTTCCGAGGCTGTAAATCTTTACGGGAGCAGAAAGCTTCATCTTTCTCCCGCAGAACAGCTGGTAGTTTCGAACTGCTGACTTTGCGGTTCGCAGCCCGTTTCATAACCACTATGCTACTTGGAATGGACTCGATTCGCAGTGGGTTGGGTTTCATCTTATTGGATCATGTTGAGTGCTTTCACATTTTGTCTCATTTAATTCTCACAACAGCTTTAATGTAGTAGTTACAGTTGTGATCCACATTTTAAGGATAGACAACTGATACGGAGAAGTTAAGTCACACTGAAATCGAAAGAGATTAACAAACAGCTTCTTATATGGTAAAAGCAGGACATCTAAAACAAACAAACAAACAAACTATCCCTGGAATTTCATTAGAGTTCACTTTGACCAATTCAAATTACAAATAGTAAAAGAAAACATCTTTTAAGCCCAGGTTGTTCAGTGCGGTGGTATTGGTTCTGACTCATAATAACCCTGTATAGGGTTTCCGAGGCTGTAAATCTTTGCAGGAGCAGAAAGCCTCAGTTTTCTCATTTTCTCAACTTGGAACATTTCCAGAAAAAGGAGATACCTTTCTTTCTCAAGTTGCCACTCACCATAGCATAAAATAAGGAAATCTAATTCTAAATCCTTGGCTCCGGGGGATTTGTTTGCATAAAAGTCGCTGTAGCGATATTTAAATGAAAATTTTTAATGATCTAGGGCGATGAATTAATGTAATTCAATGACATTCTAGGAAAGCAATAAGGAAAATTAAACTGACCTATAAGAGTTTCATTATCCATTTATGACATAAGTTAAGGAAATACTTTCCTTATCCATTTACAATATAAGTTAAGGAAATGAAGTCATATGAGAAGTGGAGACCTTTCAAAAGCTTCCTAGTGTTTGAGTTGTTCTAGTATTGTCTCTAATAGAAGAAAGTCAGAAATGCTAGTACTTCTAGAAACAATAAACTCAATAGGAACTTAGTTGAACTGGTAGCTATACAAAACCCCAAACCATTGCCAGTAAGTTGATTCTGACTCATAGCAACCCCATAGGACAGAGTAGAACCGCTCCTTAGAGTTTCTAGATTTTATTCTGTATGGGAGCAGACAACCATATCTTTTTCTGAAGAGCAGCTGGTAGAATTGAACCTTGGACCTTGCAATTAGCAGCCCAATATTTTATCCACTGTGCCACAAGGGCTCCTTGGTAGCTAGTCCAAAGCACATTGTCATGCAGCTAATTTTGACTCATCGTAGGGTTCCTGAGACTGTGAATCTTTATTAGAACAGACAGCCTCATCTTCTGATATGAAGTCACTGATGGGTTTGAACCACTGACTGTGAGGTTAGCTACTCATTGCCTAACCCATAGTGTCACCAGGAAAAACTTACAAAGTAGGTAAATTCTTACAATGGTGACTACACAGAAAACAGTGTACAGAATGGTATCAAACTCTCTCTAAGCATAGCAGAAATGAATACTTATGTACGTGTTTCTGTATAATACCTTTTCTGTTTGTTTGTGTTTTATCCTTCTCTTTCTCTCTTTTTTTAAGCCTTTTTCAATAGAAAGTGGAATTTATGTATAGTTAAGTCAAACAGTTATTACAGTGTTATGCTTTCAGGCATACAGAGAAATTCTACTATAGGCCACCCCTGAGAGCTCTCCATTTCCTTGACCACATTGCCTTGATGAGAGTTGGGGTTCATTCTTTTTCCTGTTCAGATAAAGTGTACTATCAATCACCAGAAGGATGTCATGCTGTGTAAGGTGGAGGGTCAGAGAAAAAGAGGAAGACCCCCAATGAGATGGATCAGCCAGGTGGCATCATTGATGGCGTCAAGTGTGGCGGCGGTAGTGAGG